GATAAAAAATATATTTTTGCCTTTAAAAAAATCTGTTATATGAATTTATACTATTTTAATTAGTAAAATTAATTATTCTAAATTTTAACATAAATATACTGAAATCAATTTAATTAATAAAATTAATGATTTCACATTTTAACATAAAAATATTGGAATCAATAATCCTTAATTATAGCCTAAACTGTGTTATTTCACATTATCATTAAAAAAATCATTTAATTGTTTTAAATTTTACACTTTTTTAAATCTTATAATCAGTATTTTAATATATTGATAAAACATAATTTATTTAACAAGTGAAATTATATTTGTGATTTTTAATAAGTGTATATTATATCTAATAAATATCATATTTATTAACATTATAAATTGTATTGATCCGATCAATTTCTAACGATCAATTATCCATAATATTTTCGACTGAGTTTCTTTGGTCAATCTCCTTTGCACCGATTATTTTAGAGTGAGTTCCTTTGGACAAAGTTATTTTGACCCATTACTTTGGGTGAAGCTCTTGGACCAATCATTCGGACCAAGCTCCTTTGGGCAGAGCTTCTTTGATCAACCACTATGGACCGACTCTTGGACAAATTATTTGTAATTGATCATCCTAATCGAACTACATGACGGATCGGTTAAAGAATGATTAAATTAACAATAGTAATGACAAAACAATCTATTAATGTCAAGTAAAGTATAATTAAGTCGCGATTAGATCGATAAAAAGATAAAAACTCATAATAAATAACTATAAATAAAACTTTAAAATATGACTTTCATATACATGTGTCACTGTATTAATACTGTATTCTATAGGTACCCTTCAACGAACTAGAAAACTCCACCTAGTACTCGTTAAGCTACAAAATACGATATAAACACCTGAGACACGAACATACACTCCACCAAGAATTAACACAGACAAACAATCCAAGAATTGACGGTGTTAAAAACCGAACACAAACGTGACGAATAATCCCGAAACATGAACTAAAAATGTTTGTTACCATTAACGAGTGCAATTATTTATTACATGAATATTGGGTTTATATATATGAATTTGAAAGGAAATCATATATAAATTATGTATATCAATTAAATCAACGAATACAGCATTAATATTATCAAATATACGTTCGTTAACGAGCACAAACTTTTTTACTTTAAATCTAATTATTATTTATTACACTTAAAGAATGCAATAAATAATTTTATATAGAAATATATCTTTTAAACTCATTTCATTTCTTAAGCAATTATATATACGTGCAAAGGGAGTAAACTACGATCATAAAAAGGATAGTTTACGAAGAGAAGAGAGAAGAGAGATTAGATAATATAGAAGAAGAAAAAATGTGTGCAAAGTATTTGTTTATGTTATGTTTATTGGCATATGCTGCAGAAGCACAAAAGGTTTTCAATGTAAAAGACTACGGAGCCATTGAAGACGGCAACACTGATAATAGTGTGGTGAGAATTTTTTTTTCTATATCTTATTATTTTGAACTATGTTTTTGTTGATGTTATTTTTGTTGGAAATTGAACTCTCAAGATAAAGTAAAAAATAAAATATTATATAAAAATAAAAGACTCAATAATCTATTATTTTTAAGTTTTGAATAAAGAGTATCACTCTATTATGTAATTAGACTCAGATTGTATGAACTTCTTTCTTTATTCAATAACTTTGGTTTAAATTTTTTGTAATTAATTTCAAAAAACTATTTTATATGTAAAACTGTGTTAGATATCATTATTAATTTTAAAATATTTAGTTTTGATAATTATATAAAACATCTTTTCTAACCAATTTTTTCAATGAAACATATCTTCACAAAATTGTGATATAACTTTTATGAAAAAATGTTTTATATCACTTTCATAAAATATAGGAACACAATATTTTATAATTTAATTTAGAAATAAAACACATTTATTTTTAAAAAATTTAAAAACAAACTATATTTAACTCCTTCGAAAAAAACAAGTTAAAAAATACCAAAAACCAAACATCATCACTTATTAGTTATTATGAAGAAAAGTCCAAAAGTAATAATGAAAGGCGTTAATTGTGGATATTTTTAACTCTACATTAAATGAAAATGTTATTAAACCATATAAATAGTGTAGGACAAAAATAAATAATAGTTTATGAAAATTTAATAAAAGTGTTTTATTGTGTGAAAGGCATTTGTGACCGCGTGGAGTGATGCATGCAAGCGGAATGGAGAGACAACAGTGTTGATTCCAAACGGAACGTACATGTTGAAATCTGTTATATTTAACGGTCCTTGCAACGGTTCAATAACGTTCCAAATCAACGGTGTTCTCAAGGCTCCAATTGATCCATCTAAGCTTGCTGATCAGAAATGGATAAATTTCAGATATGTTGACAAACTCACCATCAACGGAGGTGGCACTTTCGATGGTCAAGGAACTGCCACGCGCCAAAAATGTCAAAACGATTCATGTCAAATTCTTTTCACGGTACATTTTTCTCTTTCCTTTGATTTTACTTTTAAAAAATAATAAGAAAAATAATTTTTTAACAACCTTTTTTTATAACATTTTAACATTGTGGTAATCGGTGATGGTTTCGTTTTAAATATTTTTTTAAAAGTAAATTCAAATAAATCAATAAAATAATAACATGTGTTAAAAAATTGTTACAAAAAGTTATCAACATATTAAATTCCCTTTTAAACCCACTTAACTTATTTTTAAAAATAGTCTAATAATTAAAAATAATAAACTTTAATAATCTTATTCTTTTACTAATTTCTTAGAGTGTTAATTCATTGTTTTCTAATTAAAAGAAAATCCTCAAAATATTATAATTAGCCTATTAATTAGATTCTAAGTTGGTTATCAAAATTTTGACTATTAAAAAAATTAGTATATAAATTAATCATTAATATTAATCAGTGATCAATTTTGACATTAATTCTTTTGATAACTAAAGTTTTGATAGTATCAAGAACTAATTTAGACATTAATTTCTTTTATAGTTAAACTTGATAGTTAATGTTATTAATCAATTCAGAGTTTAATTATAATTATTTTAGAAATAAATAATTTTAAGTTTGTAAATTAATATTTAAATTTATCAGAGAGAAATTATTTTTTTATTTCTAAAATGGATTGTTATTTATTTTTTTGTTGTAAGCTTAGACTAATTAACAAACATGTTGTTTGATTGGTTAGAGCATGGTTCTGGACTTCATCACCAACGGTCGCATTGAAAACTTGCATTCTGTTGATAGTAAAGGCGGACATTTCATAGTGTTCGGAAGTGGAAACATGACCTTCTCAAACCTAACCTTAACAAGCCCTGCTAACAACCGAAACACAGATGGAATCAAAACATCTATTACAAATGGAATAAACATCACGAATGTGACAATTGGCACTGGCGATGACTGTGTTGCTATGATTTCTGGCACCAAGAATGTTCGAATTACAAATGTTTTTTGTGGCCCAGGTCACGGAATCAGTGTCGGAAGTCTTGGTGGTGGTGGGAACCCACATGAACTACCCGTGGAAGATGTAGTTGTCAAGAATTGCACTTTCAACGGTTCTATGAATGGTGTCCAAATCAAAACATGGCCCTTTCCATTGAAGACACCTTTAACTGTTTCAAATTTCATCTATGAAGACATTATCATGATTAATGTGCAAAATCCTATCTTCATTAATCAACAATATTGTCCTGAACATAACTGCGACCTTACGGTAAGTTTCTTCTTCTACAACTATTACAAACCTAAAGAAATTGTTGCTGCCATAACATGATTATTTGAATTTACTGCAGAAATCTTCACACGTGCAAATCAGCAATGTTTCATACAAAAATATCAGAGGAAGCAGTGCTACTGATATTGCAGTGAATTTAAATTGCAGTATGGAACTGCCATGTCAAAATGTAACTGTGGAGGATATTGATTTGTCAAGTTCTGGTAGAATTGGAAGACAACATATAAAGAATTATTGTTCTCACGTGAAAGGTTATTCTTATGGCAGACAAATTCCCCCATCTTGTCTTCCCAAGAATGAATTTAGAACAACACCTCTTCCGTATTAGAGCTTCATGAATAAAACAAGTTGCAATTCCGTTTCTTATTTGTTCACAGTGAATATATATAATTAAAAATAACAACCAAGAGTACAAAACATCTATGGAAGCAAGCCTAAAATGATATAAGAATGTCAAAAGCCATATTACAGACTCAAAAAAAAAAGAACAAGAACAAGAACTTCACTATCAAACATGGAAACAGTATGCTAAAATAGAATGAGGACTTTTAAAGTATTCTTATAACAACAAATGGATCCTAAAAATAACTCTACTACTTTTGAAAACCGTAAGAGAAAACTAAAATCAAGGATAACTAAAGCAACAAATGATATAAAAACTAGAATCAACTAATTTGAACTATTAAAGTAAATTTAAATCCCAAAAAAGATATTGAATCACAGGCTTTTGGTAAAAACTAAATAATAAAACATGGCACATGATGTGATAGCAGAAGGATTTGATACTTTGAAAAACATGGCACATCATGATATGAATGAGGTCGGTTTCCCTGTTGTGTGTTGTCTTTATTCCATTGTGCATGTATGCATGCCCATGTATTTTTTTCACATTTAAGCTCATTATTTATGGATAGACAAGTACCACTGATGGATGAGATCGATGCTAAGGTGAGATATGAAGGGGAAAACCATAAATTAGGGCAAATCTAAGCGAAGAAGAGAAGCGAACTTGTTGGTGGCGCACCTCCTTCTTCCGCCTGTGATCCGCCGGTCTGAAAAGATGGGTGGGCGTGGGTGAACCGCTGCACTGGCGTTGCGCTCTCACTCCTGGACTCGCTTGATCTGCGTTATTGGTGGGTGAAGGAAGAATTGGGTTTTTTCGACGGGTTCAATTATCTGACCCGGCCCATGATTTTCTTGTCGAGTTGACGGGTCTGACCCGTTTTGACATCCATCGCAGCCCACATCACAGCCCATTAATTAAAAAAAGTGTTTGCTCCTACTTTCGTCCGTATAGGGTTTTTGCAGCTTCGTCATCCTCTGCGCTAAACACAACTGTGCATATCACCTCCAATGGCGTATTATTCTTCTAGACTCGATTTCTTTTGCCATTTGTGTGGGACAACGCTAATTGTTCCTTCTTCTGAGTACGCCCAATGCCCTTTATGCAAAACTCTCCGAGACATACAAGGTTAAAACCCTATATTTTCTTTTCTTTCAAATCAAGGCGCATGCTTGTTTTATTGTGGTAACGTGTTCTCGAATTTTTTTGATTGTATATTATGTATAACTTTCTCCAATTGACTAATGAAATATGGTTGTGTTCAGATATTCGTGATAAGGAAATAAGTTACACAATTACTGCTGAGGTATGTTTTATTTCGGTTATCTCACATGACTGTGAATTATTACTATTATTATAGTTTATATGCCAGTGTTCATTTTCTGGACTTACTTATGGTGCTTCATGCACTTTTTTTAAAAGAAAAATGAACATGTCTACCTCCACCTTGACTTCACACATGACTCACGAATTCATGACAGACTTTCTATACCTTTTGTTTAAAACTAATGTTAGTCATGACTATACTTTTTGATATCTCAGCTATGTTGTTGTAATGCCAATAATGTAACAGATCAATTGGTAGTATTGCATTAAAGTAACAGAAGAGCATTCAAGTATATATATACACGATCAGTTCTCATGTTATTGGAATTTGATTAGTGTAGCCATATTGAAATTTGGACCTGGGTTTAGATTTTTAATATCAATGTAGCAATGATAGCAAGTAGAGGTGAAATGATATTGTGAAAATACTGGCACAGTTAGTCAGGATTGCTAACATTTTAGGTACTAAATTTCCTACCAAGAGTTGCAGCAGCTTAGCTGACCAGCTTGATTCTGTTGACAGATTGCAATTGGTCTCTTATAACTGAAATAAGCTAAATTTGTGATTTACCATGACCATGGACATATTCACTTTATGTAAACTATTGGCAATTCATCTTTAAATAAAAGTAACCTTGTGTTTGGCAGGAGATCAGAAGAGAGCTTGGAATGGAAATAATCGAGGAACAGAAGGTTCAATTATCGAAGGTAATGGCATCATTCCATATTAAATATAGCTTGGTTTTTAAGAAGATATTTGTATGTTTTAAATGTTATTGTTTCTTCTCTAAAAAAAACGTATTATTTCTTGACAGGTCAACAAGAAATGTGAAAAATGTGGCCATGATGAAGCTAACTTTTATACCAGACAGGTATCGTTAGACTTTATAATGTATATTTGGCAATTTGATTTGAATGTTATTTGTAGTCCAGAATTATTTATTTCAATCATTCTATTTTCAGATGAGATCAGCAGATGAAGGGCAAACTACTTTCTATACATGTACCCGTTGTGGTCATCAATCTCAGGAGAATTAGTGGTTTACTTTAAGGCTATCTTTGGAAGGAATGTACCAGGAAAAATAGAATGATCTTTAAGGTTATTTTGTATCTGATAATATGCCGCACCTGACCCCTACTAAGGTTGTTATCTGGACTTGGTTATTAATTAATAAGCCTTTTTACCTTAAATTTCTTTTGTATATCAGCTATAAATAATTAACACTACCTGGAGAAATGGCGTAGCAGTACAACCCAAGTAGGCTAGATTCAACATAAAAATTGGGTTGTCTACTCTGTCGAGCATGAAGTTTAACAAATTAGGTTCCTCATCCTTATATAATAAGATATTTTAGCCTTTTAACTCAGCATATCCGTTTAACAAATCTTTCCAAACTTCCCATCCTAAAGTTGATTTGAGAATTTTGGTTATGTTGACTCTTCTTCATACGTTTGGTTGCATATTTTACACTTGTCTATTTAGTTTTGGTGCAATGAGGTATATGTCCAGTGGTGAACCTGTATTTAGTATAATTTTTTGTGGCTTGTATTAAAAAAGTAGCTTTAGTCTGTAGCCTTACTTTATGAAATCAAATTGTGTAAAATATGAATTACCAAGAAAACAGTCCTTTGGGTTTCAAGAAGGGGAGAAAAACTGTGAATAATATATCTATCAAAACTCCTCCATCTGCACTTGTCTTGGCAGAACGATCACTTCTGCAGCAGTGATCTCGAAGTTTGTGAGTTTTCTCATCCTTTCTCACTTGCCCATTTCATTTCAACGTTTCTCTGCATTGGTAATTTAGGGATGCATGTTTCGTATTAGCTTTCTATTTCACCTCTGCGGATGTTGTTTGTTTATAATTCTTTTGGAATGAATGCTGTGTATCTGGGCGATTTCAACTGCTAGATCTAGATTGTATTGTAGTTATTTCATATGTCCTATTTAGATTTCCTATTCTTATACCATTAGGATCGATGAAACATTTCTTAGTGTGTTTGTACCATATAATTGGGTTCGTTTTGTGATTTAATCAGGTGCTATTGCTATTTCTACGAAGAAAAGTTGATTGTGGGTTTTGGGCTTTCCGTTCTCTTTGATGTGTTTATACTCTGGATTCAACAAGTAGGCTAGATTCAACAAGCATGAAAGTTTCGGGTTCCTCATCTTTTTATAATAACTCAGCATCACTGTTTAACAAATCTTTCCAACTTCTGATCCTAAAGTTGATTTGAGAACTTTGGTTATGTTGAATCTTCTTCATACGTTTGGTTGCATAGTTTACCCTTGCCTATTTAGTTTTGATACAATGAGGTATATGAGTGTGGTGAACCTGTATTTAGTGTAATTTTGTGACTTGTATTAAGAAAGTAGCTCCAGTCTGTAGCCTCACTATGAAATTGAAATGTGTCAGTTATGAATTACCAAGAAAACAGTCCTTTTATTAAGAGGTGATTTGGTTTAACAGAACAACTTTGGTATTTTATGTAGACTTTATGGGGGTTTACTTGGTAACTTAATGGTATGCTTGAAGTTTTGTTCAAAGTTAGTGTATATAATGTCGAACTTATAATGCTTAAAATTAATTGGTGTCCTCCAGTTCTATTTTATGTATGATACTATGTGATGTTTCATAGATGGAAAGCCTGTGTAAGTGAGATTTTCCTTTATGCACCTTCTGGTTTTTTCTCCTTATAATTTGCCACTCTCCCTCATACACAAAAACCACATCCCTAAGTTAGGAAAAAAAAATTCAAATCTTATTATATAAATCATTTAATGTTCTTGGCAATCAGGGAACTTGCGAAGCACTTAATAAGTCATGTGGGTGCTGTGGAAGCATTTTGGAAGATGAGGCACAACGTGAACAATGAGAGTCAACATGTGACTTGGTAACTCATGTCTTCTGTCACGTGTGTGCTCTTTGTCATGAGTGTCGTGGGCTCCGTCCCAGGTTACCTCATCCTGGCTGTAATGCTCAACCGGTACTGGTTATGATTCCCCCAGCCGAACAGACCATGGGACGTGAAGCTTGAAGATTCTCCATCATCTTGGAAGTGCTATTCTTGTGTATGTCACTGATGCCTCTATGATTTGATGTTGAACCATGTTATGACTCCATCTAAAATGGATCCTGGCTTTTTCATTTTCTTTTTATAAATAAGAACATTAAACCTATTAATTCTGTTTGCCTCCCTTTTATTTTGTATTATATATAGATTTGAATCATATGAGAGAAATTTTCTCCCAATAACTATGTCTATGGGTAACTAGTATTTAGATAATGAACTCAATGAAAGAATTTGGTACATTTAGTGCGTAATTCTTGTATGGTTATGTACTTTCGGCTTAGGCTTTAAATATTGAAAGGAAGTGTAATGTGAACAAGGGGTGCAGCTTAAATGGTGAAACTATTTTATGACGGAACATATCTAGCTACGGCCTCCACTTTCACGCCTTTCCTTGTCTGGAGGACAGCAAATGGAGTGGTTAACGCATGCTTCTGTTTTGCTAGGGTGACATTTGCTTGACAGGGATCTAAGTAAGTAATTTTCATAGAATAGGTAGTGTTCTTTGCGTCCAAATTGCAAGGTCGAGCACGAAGGATGAGGAATAGTTTCAAAAAAACATAACGAGTGTCAGAGTTTCAGCAGAGTAAAGATTATAGAAATAAAGAAAGGTTATGAAAATTTCTAGGGGAAGCCTAAATTGTGAGTGGAGTCCTTAAGCAAAGTATGAGGGAAGCATTTAGTCTTCCTCTTCCTCTTGATCTTCGTCCTCTACTTCTCCTTCTTTAGCATCATCATCTAAGTCTTCATTGTCGTCACCATGGTCTGTTCTCTGAGCTATTGCTGAATGGTTGCAATTTCTTTGTCCACTGCGACGAATGTTGCCACGTAGGTGGAATGGTTTGAGAATAGCATTGTTAGTTGTTTCAGCACACACTTTTCAAAGTCATTCTTTAGTCTAACAGTTGGGGGCATCATAGGACATGCAAATGTTAACTGTATCCACTTGGTCAGCTTTAGGTTCATCTTTGAAAGTCCGTCCTTTTTCACATTTTCGAAGTCCCATATGATGAAGGGTAGGCTTTGCAATCTTATTTGTGTGATTGTATCCCATGGAGACATCATCATTAAGTTAACGTGAAAAAATTCAAAGACTTTGGAGGAAGACGACAAATGGTAAACTCGCCATAGGTAACCTCATGGTTTTGATGATGGTGTCACTTACCACTTCAAACCAGTTAGTAGGAATTCAGCCTTTGAGTGCATGATTTAGGATCAATGAATACCAGTAGTCAGTCATCCCTCTTCATGCCACCGGCCTTACAGTGTATAGTTCCTGGGTTCATTTGGGTGCCCGAGACAGGCTTGAAAGATTCCCAACTTGTTGAATCCAAGAAAGTTTCGGTGGGATTTTTCACTGCCCAACCGAAATCCAACAATGGACATCCATACCTCATCATCAAGCTCTATATCTACCCTTTTAACTTGGGATGTGATGATTCCATTAACTAAATCAGTCCAAACCTTGATACGAGAGTCTGTTTTGAAATATGAATCCTTCGCAAAAAAACTGAAATTCTAGAAATTTGTGGTTGATTACGCTGTGGAGTCACTAGAAGCATATGAAATTTTGTTACGCTTCTTCATCACTTATCCATCCTTCAACATCTACTTCACTAGCCTGCTTCTTGGCCGCGCATTTGATGCGTTTTGGTTTGGAAGAGGAGGCCAGTAGTGAGGTAGAGAAGGTAACTGATTGAGGTTTGCTGGAGGAAAGAGCAGAGGAAGAAGAACAGAATACAATTTAGGGTTTGTAATGCTAAATGTGAGGGAAAGAGATGGGTGGTTAGCTGAATTAATTTTTGGTCAGCGAAATATATAATCTATGCAGAACGTATTATTTAAAGCGAGAAGTTATGGCAATGGTAAGACAAAGCAAAAAGTTATGTGGGACATATTAAAACAAAAGCAATCACATAACACAGTAAGGCACAAAAAGATTGTGTATTAATCGATTAATTGAAGATATAATCGATTAATAATTGCAGAGATACTTTTCGTACAAATTTTTCATTTTGAACATGGAATGTCTAAGATGCTTAGCTAATTTCTGATTGTGAAATCTTTCTTTTGTAAGTGGTTTGATAAAAATATCAGCTAATTAGGGTGTTTATATATTCAATTTTGCATCCTCTTTGGTACATGGTCCCTAATAAAAGGATGTCTTATTTCTATATGTCTTGTCTAGAATGCATGATTGGATTTTTTTTTTTCGAGATTTATAGCATTGGTATGGTCATATCTAAGAGGTATATGTTCTAAGTAGATGTCATAGTCTTATACTTTGCTTTTGATCTAAATGGAATGTGCACAAGAATTACCAACAACAATGTATTATACTTTAGTGGTTGTGTCACATAAGTTTGCCTTTTAGAATGTCATGATATTAAGGAATACCCTAACAAAGGACAAGTTCCACCGATGTTTTTCCTATATGTTTAATCGTTCCTAAAATCTAAATCGCTATATTCAATGAGTGAAATATTAGCACATATATCATAAGTCTAAGGTTTTAGTTACTTTTAGATATTTTAAAATTCTCTATGTAAGTTTTTAAGACATGATTGAAATCTTGCACATACACACACAAACACTATGCATGATGTTAATATGACTAGCAATCAAGTATAGAAGTGAATTGATCATGCCTCTGTCACTACACTTGTCATTGCCATTTATCGGTGTCAACAGCAGCACTGTCATTATCTATTGTTGTCAGTTTCAATTTTGATTGACGATTACACGATTTTGATCGTCTTGGCCAAGTGACCACCATGTTGCCAGCGACTCATTCATTGAAGCTCCTATGCGCTCTCAACGCCTTTTGAAGTTGTGAATATATCTCTTTTTTTCATCATACATGGTGGCATGTCTCGTCTCCTCTTTGACAAAGATTTAGAGGGTCGGGGTCACTCATTTTTCTCTTTCAGGTTTGTCATTTGTTATCATGCGTCCTGTCTCATCTCAAGCAGTTATTCAGAGCATCGAAGTTGGTTTTTTTTTCCTTTTTCAAGTGTCTTGATTGGAGAATCTTGAACTTTTAAGGTTTCTCTCTTGTTCATCCATGGCTTCTTTCGCTGTTGTTTCTTCTAATCTCCTATTTGTTATCATTGCGTTTGACTCGTCCATATATGTTTTTTCTCCTATGACAAAGATGGATTTTGTAAGTTTTTTATAGCCATGTTGCCTCTTCAACAATGACTTCTTTATTCACTGGATGTCAACAATGCATTCATTAACGATGATTTGTAAGAAGAGATTTACATAGAGCAACCTCCCAGATTTATTGCTCGGGAGAAGTCTTCTGGATTTGTATTTCGTCTTCTATTTTGTCCTCACAAATTATTAATAATATTATGTTACTCGAGTGCAAAAGCAAATATTTTCACTAAGTCTTTATGATTATATTAATAACAAGTTTGATACATACAATTTGTATGCTCTAGTTTGAAGGAAAGTGTTACCTATATTATCTTTATTTTATACTTATCTTTTATCTTTAGTTTGTTTGTTTTTATTTGCTTTAAACCCTCAGATGGTCCTCGTATTTGTAGCGGAATCTCAAGTGGGTCCTCTTGTTGAAAACGATCTTAAGTGGGTCCTAAATTTTAAAAAAGTGAGTCAATTAAGCATTTTCCGTTAAGTGTTGACAGACGATGTTAACTGATGTTGACGTGTTGCACAAATAATATGCTAATGTAACAATGTTTTATTATGTGGAATTTTTATTTAAATGAATAGTTCTTAACGTGGCACAATCTTTCTCATCTAGGTTCTTCCCATCTTCACCAATTCAGAATGTTCGTCATTAAGATTGTAGTTTCTTTTTCAAAAAAAGAAGTCTTGTTTTTGCCCACCATAGGAACAAATTGTTGCCCTAAAATTGAGGGTTGGGCGTTAGACCTATTATGATAACTAGGGATGGCAACGGGTCGGGCACGGGTAGTGCCTACCCGCAACCTGACCCGTCGGATAAAATTGTACCTGCAACCTAACCCGCTACCCGTTGGGTACCCGTTTAAAAAATACTCGCAGGTATTTTAAAACCAGCGGGTACCCGCGGATACCCGCAAAAAATGAAATAAAATTATTTAATACATATTTAAAATAAAATTACAATATATATATTATATATATTATTCATATATATAAATCTAAATTAAATATAAATTAAAATTTAATTTTAATTAAATTTAACCTAATAAAATATATTTTATTTTATTTTTAAATTAATTTAATTAAAAAATATATAATTTTTTTTTTAATTTTTCAACGTTTAGCAGGTACCACGCCCGCGGGCTGGTATATACTACCCGTACCCGACCCGTTTAGAAGCGAGTATTAAAATACCCGTTACCTGCGGAGTAAAGATCCACAAATATTTACTATCTTGCCGCAGATTTGTATCCGCGGATACCCGTTGTAAATCCTTGAAATATTTGTATGTTAAAATGTAAGATCCATGAAAAAAAAAATTTATAATAGTAAATTTTAACATTTTATTAGTAATAATAATTTTAATGGATAGAAAAATGTAAATTTTTGGATATAAAGTTATAGTAATTTTGGAGGGAGAGCTTCAAATTTTTGATAACTTCATTTAGGAATTTTTTTTTAGAATGTTGAATAGTGAATAGTTGAATAGTAAATAGTAAATAGTGAATAGTGAAATAGTGAATGTTAAAAAAAAAATATTAAAATAAATTATGGAAGGACACTACCACGTAGAATTACTCATTCAGGATAAGAATGGTGAATAAAAAAATAATTTTTGAATAGTAAAAATGAATAGTAAAAGTGAATAGTAAAAATGAATAGTAAAAATGAATAGTAAAATTTTTGGCTATAAATAGCCAAGGGGGGGAGGCTGAAGATTTACACCAAATATCTATGAAATTGTGAGAGAAGAAGTTAGAGGAAATTCTAGTTTAAAGAGGGGAAATTCTGGAGTTTCCGGAGAACGTTTGAGAAGAGGAAACTAAGTATGGAATAGAGGTTAAGGGAGCTAACTTTGAGTATTTATTTTTGGTATTATCTTGAGTCTTCTGAATATGCTATATTTTTCTTTTGTCTGATTTTTAAATCCTAAATATGAGTATTTTGTTTCTGTATGATTTTGAATTTTAAATGAGTAATATGTTTTTTTGTGTGTTAATATCCAAGTGTGAAAATTTTAAAATGTGATATTGATTATGTTATGTCAATTGTATGTTATTAGTGGTTTATTTTTTTTGGAAGGATTAG